CAAACTTTGTGTTTTTTTTAACCTGTTTGTTTGTTTTGTTCTATTAGAAATGTAATACAATGGTCTGGTTGCTCCTAACACGATAAATAAATAAATAAATAAATAAATAAATAAATAAATAAATAAATAGCCTTTGGTCTCAGGCTATGCTGGCTGTTTCCCCAGCTGACCACCGGTCATAGAATCAGACAATTCTCGTTAGATGACACCCCAAAGGCCATCCAGTTCAACTCTCTTCTACCAAACAGGAAGGTGCAATCAAGGCCTTCCCAACAGAGGGCCGTCCAGCCTCTGCTTCTGAACATCCAGAGAAGGAGACTCTACTAGACCCTTAGTCAGAAGCTATTCCATTCTCAAACATCTCTGACAATCACAGAATCCTAGAGTTGGAAGAGACCTCCTGGGCCATCCAGTCCAACCCCATTCTGCCAAGAAGCAGGAAAATCACATTCAAATCACCCTCAACAGATGGCCATCCAGCCTCTATTTAAAAGCCCCCAAAGAAGGAGCCTCCACCACACTCCAGGGCAGAGAGTTCCACTGCTGAACAGCTCTCACAGTCAGAAAGTTCTTCCTCATGTTCAGGTGGAATCTCCTTTCTTGTAGTTTGAAGCTATTGTTCCATTGCATCCTAATTTCCAGGCAGCAGAAAACAAGATGGAGACTAGGACGTGGAACAATGGCTTCAAACTACAGGAAAGGAAATTCCACCTAAACATTAGGAAGTATGTTCCCGTCTCTTTCTCTATCCACCCCATGCCCCTTTCCCAATCCTTGGCAGCTACACACCTGTTTGATGGTGGCAACCATCCGGGCCATGAGCATGATGCTCGAAGTCTCGGGCGGGTAGTGGATGTTCCTGCGCAAAAGAGAGAATGGGTTTATTCTTATAGAGCTGTAGGATCACTGAATCTTAGAGTTGGAAAAGACCCCAAGGACCATCCAGTCGAACCCCCTTCTGCTAGGTAGGACACAATCAAAACACTCCCAACAGATGGCCATCCAGTCTTTGCTTCAAAACCTGTAAAGGGGATTCCACCATCCTGCAAGGCAGCATATTCCATTGCAGAACAGCTCTATCTGCCAGGAAGTTCTTCCTAATGTTTAGCTGGGTACATGACCATCTATATAAATAAAAATGTAATGTTTGTTTGTGGGATTAACACAACTCAAAAACCACTGGATGAATTGACACCAAATTTGGATACAATACACCTAACAGGCCCAACAAGTGTCACAGAAGAGGCTTAAGAAGCCAAAAAACCCCCAAAAAATCACATTGCAATGCATGTGCAAAACCACATATATACACATATAGACAAATATATACACACAAAACACACATATATACACACAAAAGGCACATACACAAGCTGGGCCAAAGCAACGCGTGGCAAGGGACAGCTAGGTATAAATAAAAATGCAATATTCATTTGTGGGATTAACATAACTCAAAAATCACTGGATGAATTGGCACCAAATTAGGACATAATACAGCTATCAGGCCAACAAGTGACCATCACTCATAAAAACACTGGAAAACCAAACAGAAGAGACACTTAAAAGCCAACAAATAAATATATATACGGTATATTACAATGGATTCACAAAACCAGACACACACACACATATATATGCAAACACACATATATACACATATACACAAAACTATGCACACACACACACACACACAACACAGACTGGGCCACAGCAACGCGTGGCAGGGGATGGCTCGTTAATTATAAATTGCTTCTGCCTTTTTACTTGCCAGATTGTTCAATCTATGTTGAAAATGCTTTAAATTCTTTGAAATGGGTTAAACGGAACCCCAGGACCCCATTTAATAGCAACTGATAACGATGCTGATAATTATTTATGCAAGCTGAGCATCCCTTTATCCAAAATGCACGGGATCTATAGTACAGCAGACTCCGTTAAGCAGAAAGCATGGGGATGGCTAGATGCTGGAAAAATTGAGTTTCTGTTTGCTTGAGAATTACTATTAAAAATTGGCCTAATTTATTCAATATTGCACTGTACCATAAACTCTATACTGACGATATTAATGCTGAAATATAGGAAAATTAAGCCAAACCCATCAAAGTAGATAATCCACATTATCTACTTTGAGCTAGATGATATGAGTCTATACTGCCATATAATCCAGTTGAAAGCAGATAACCTGGACTGGATTATTGAGTCTGCACTGCCATATAATCCCATTCAAAGCAGATAACCTGGAATGGATTATTGAATCTACACTGCCATATAATCCAGTTCAAAGCAAATAACCTGAACTGGATTATTGAGTCTGCACTGCCATATAATCCCGTTCAAAGCAGATAACCTGGACTGGATTACTGAGTCTACACTGCCATATAATCCAGTTCAAAGCAGATAACCTGGAATTGATTATTGGGTCTACACTGCCATATAATCCCATTCAAAGCAGATAACCTGGAATGGATTATTGAATCTACACTGCCATATAATCCAGTTCAAAGCAAATAACCTGAACTGGATTATTGAGTCTGCACTGCCATATAATCCCGTTCAAAGCAGATAACCTGGACTGGATTACTGAGTCTACACTGCCATATAATCCAGTTCAAAACAGATAACCTGGAATTGATTATTGGGTCTACACTGCCATATAATCCCGTTCAAAGCAGATAACCTGGAATGGATTATTGAATCTACACTGCCATATAATCCAGTTCAAAGCAAATAACCTGGACTGGATTATTGAGTCTGCACTGCCATACAATCCCGTTCAAAGCAGATAACCTGGACTTGTTTATTGAGTCTGCACTGCCATATAATCCAGTTCAAAGCAGATAACCTGGACTGGATTATTGAGTCTACACTGCCATATAATCCATTTCAAAGCAGATAACCTGGACTGGGTTATTGAGTCTACACTGCCATATAATACAGTTCAAAGCAAATAACCTGGACTGGATTATTGAGTCTACACTGCCATATAATCCCGTTCAAAGCAGATAACCTGGACTAGATTATTGAGTCTGCACTGCCATATAATCCAGTTCAAAGCAGATAACCTGGACTGGATTATTGAGTCTACACTGCCATATAATCCCGTTCAAAGCAGATAAACTGGACTGGATTATTGAGTCTACACTGCCATATAATCCACTTCAAAGCAGATAACCTGGACTTTATATGGCAATGTAGAAGGGGCCACAGTTTTACAGTAAACTGATTTTACATTTCTATAAAACTTGGTATTTTTTTAAATTTGAACTATTATTTCTTAAGTTCTGGCTAACTGAGACCCCTTCTACACTGCCATATAAAATCCAGATGATCTGCTTTGAACTAGATTATATGGCAGTGTAGACCCATATAACCCCGTGGATTATCTGCTGTGATAATCTGAATTATATAGTAGTGTAGGAGGGGTCTCAAAATGGATCTACGCCGAAATATAATCCAGTTCAAAGCAGATAATCTGGATTTTATATGGCAGTGTAGAAGCCCCAAATGGGGTGGAGTCTTGCAAGGGGGGGGGGGGCAGGCACTTACCTCCAAGCCTCCTGCAGTTTGTTTAAGGGGTGGTTTGGATCCTGCCTGGAGGGCCCCAGGCACAGAACCTGGTGGTACTGCTCCCACGCAGCTTTCCGACACTCGGCGCTGCAATATGTCACCTTGAAAAGAAGAAGCGTTTGAGGTAAAGCAAAGAACAACCATGCTGGATCGGACAACAGGCCATCCAGTCCAACCCCCTTCTGCCAGGGGAACGACACAACCTAAGCCCTCTATAACGACGTCTCACACTAAGGAGCTTCTTTTAGCAGGGAGAAGGAAAAGGGAATTCTGAAATAGTGAATCCCACAAGCTACCAGAAATTATAAGGAACTTCACACTAAGGATCACACCGCTGTGCCACCAATTACAAGTAATATCACAGGAGGGAAATTGATAAAACAGGGAAAGATATAACTGTGGATAGATATATCTGAATAACATCTGAACTGTGAGGGTTTTAAAAGGCTTCTTCAATTGGGTGCGCTGCCACCTTATTGTTTAGTACTCAGGCTGAGTTATATGTGTGGAGAGGATACTTAGTAACACCCTTACTATAGTGTTTATTTTCTTCAGGGGGGTTAAATACCAATGACGTTCACACACAGGCTGTTGTAAAGTGTTAACTATAATAAAACATTTATTTAACAGGCTTAAACTCTTCTGGTACAAATGCGTAATGGTTTCTGTAAGTTAATGGCACAAAAGCTTTTGGTTACGTTTGATGTACAATTCTTAGATGGGTACTGGGTTCAAATCTAGAGTTAGCAAACAGGAGATTATCTTATGGCCCCCAGGGTTTCGCTAGGCCCACATTCTAACTGTTTAGGCCATCAGGCTTCGCTAGGCCCACATTCTGGCTGCTAAAGGTAAGGGTTCTTCACACCCTCCCGACAGATGGCCATCCAACCTTTGCCTAAAAACCTTCCATGGAAGGTTTGTTTTTGTTTTGATGAAAGTGATTTCATTGAAAGCTGAAGAAACATTTTATGGTATAAAGAAGAGGAGATGTACACTTTGCACTGAAGAAGGGGGGAATGACTCCCCCTTACCTGGCAGCTGGGGCAATGCTGGTGGAGGTCTTTCCGGATGCTGCATTGCTCCGGGCGAGGGAGGATCTGGAATCTCCCAAGGAGCCGCTGGGCGTTTTCTTCGGCTGTCTCCAAGGCTCGCAAACAATGGTCGCAGGCTGGAATTGGGGCGAGAAAAAGGCGCATGTGTGAGGAGAAGAGAGCCTTCCAAAGGAAAGCATTCTTCAGATTTATTCATTAACTAGCCATCCCCTGCCACGAGTTGCTGTGGTCCAGTCTGTATATATGTTTTGTGTGTGTGTATATGCGTATATATGTGTGTTTACATATAGATAGATAGATAGATAGATAGATAGATAGATAGATAAGATAGATAGATGGATGATAGATAGATAGATAGATCTATATAAATAAAAATGTAATGTTTGTTTGTGGGACTAACAGAACTCAAAAACCACTGGATGAATTGACGCCAAATTTGGACACAATACACCTATCAGGCCAATGGATGTCCTTCACTCATAAAAACACTGAAAAACACAGCAGAAGGGACTTTAAAAGCCCCAAGAAGCTAAATGATGAAAAGCTAAATGAAAAAAGGAAGAAAGAGGGAGGGAAGGGGAGAAAAAAGAAAGAAAGAAAGAAAGAAAGAAAGAAAAGAAAAGAAAAGAAAAGAAAAGAAAGGAAAAGAAAAGAAAGAGGGAGGGAAAGAAAGGAGGAAAGGGATAAGGAAGCATGGAAGGAAGGAAAGAGGTAGAGAAGGAAGAAAGGAGAGAAAGAGGGAGGGAAAGAAAAAGGGGGAAGGAAGGAAAGTTAAAGAAGGAAGGAAGGAGAGAAGGAAAGAAAAAAGGGAAAGAAGGAAGGAAAGAGGGAGCGAAGGAAAGGGGGAAGATGTAGAGAAAGAGGGAGGGAAGGAAAGAAGGAAAGAGAGAAGGAAGAAAAGAGAGACAGCAGAAAAGGGGAAAGGAAGGAGATAGAGAAGGAAGGAAGAAGAGAAGGAAAGATGGGAAGGAAGGAAGGAAGGAAGGAAGGAAGGAAGGAAGGAAGGAAGGAAGGAAGGAAGGAGGGAGGGAGGGAGTGAAGGAAGGAGGGAGTGAAGGAAGGAGAGAAAGAGGAAAGGTTGGCCACAGCAACGCATGGCGGTTACAGCTAGTAGATAAATAAAAATGTCATGTTCGTTTGTGGGATTAACAGAACTCAAAAACCACTGGACAAATTGACACCAAATTTGGCACAAGACACCTATAGAGTGTCCATCACCTCTAAAAACACAGAAAAAACCTAGTAGAATGGACTTTAAAAACCCCAAAATAAGCTATATATACATATACACATACACTCATATACATTAACTAACTAGAGTAAAATCTCTGTTCACCAAAACTCTCAAGCAACTGGCAAAAAAATAAAGAAATAATATTTAATATTAAAATAACATCAATTTTGACTAGAAATGTAAGCTTATAATAATAAAACTGTAGACTACATTTGTCTTTATCTGTCTTGATTTGCTTCTATATTTCAACATCGAGATCAAGTCAATACACAGTTTATAGTATAGTTGTATAGGGTATGCAGTAATATTAGTTAGGCTTGCTAACTCTCAAGGAACCAGAAACTGTATTTATCTAGAATCTACCATTTCCCATTGAATGCTGATTAACTGAGAGTTGGCTGTTCTACCGTTCTAGAATTGGGAAAAGTTATTTTGGGACTACATCTCCCACCTTGCTTAAGAATCTAGATCAGGAATGGGCAGGCAAACTTTGGTGTTTTGGAGTTCAACAATTCCTAATAGCCGGTAGGGGAAGGAGAAAAAAATCTAGTTCCAGGACATTGAAAAAAGCGCTAAAATAATACAAATATTTATTTATTTCGTATCAAAAGCATTGCATAAATTAGTATAAAACTGATAAAAATAGAAGGAACGCAGGCGGGGAAATATCTTTTGATCAAAAACGGGCAACAGCAACAGCATTGTCTGTAGCCTCCAACAATTCTTCCTCTGTACATGAGGCAGGGCACAGTGGACAAGCATACAGATGCGGAGTTGCCTGTTCTGCTCCACAGTCACATAAGGTGTGGGATTCTTTTAGGTCGTGCCATTTTGTCAGGTTGTCTTTTGATCTGCCCACTCCACTTCTGAGTCTGTTCAGGGACTTCCAAGTTGCCCATTCTTGGTTTGCCCCAGGAGGAAGACCCTCCTTCGTGGGGGGCCATCCAGTTGGGATTTCCTGGTTTAACTGCCCAGAGGGAGACCCTTGCTGTATCCAAAAACCCCAAAGTATTGCTTTTTAATATAAAGATGATACAAGCAGACAAAAACATTCAAGTTTCCTCACCTCTGTATTTATACATTGCATTCCAGAGGAACTGGGATGCCACGACAGGCTTCTCGACAAAAATGGTTTCCCCTTTCTGGATTTTTCGGGTTGCAAAGAGTCCTTTCCCCTTTGAACAGAGAGAATAAGAAAGAGATGGTAAAAAGAAAGCCAGGTTACAACAGCATTCGCCTTCATTGCTGCAGCATAATACTGCAGGCTCGTAAAATTAAACCCAAGGGTCACCTTTATTGTCCAGTCCAAATGCGCTAAATATATTACACAAGTTTTCGAAGCTCCATTGACTTCTTGATCAGGCAAAAGATGTTAGGGGAAAAACATAAAGAAGAAAAGGATAAAGTGATGGTGTTGGAGTCACAAGCCTACATTTATTGGATTTATGGCCTCTGATGCCATGATTTGGACCAAAAAAAAATCAACTGTACTACATTGGAAAGAGAACTACCACAACCTCCTTAACCGCAGCTCCAACATGGCAGAAGAGCTTCCCTCGCAAATCCCGCAACAACCAAGGATGAGCTTGCAACACTGTCCATTTGGAGGAAGTCACCCAAGCCCTCAGCCAACTAAAAAATAACAAAGCCAGTGGACCTGATGGGATCCCTGTTGAAATCTTTAAAGAGGGTGGACCTGAGCAGACTTCAAAGGTCACCACTTTCATCACCCTATCAAAAAGGAGGAAAGAACAGACTGTGGAAACTATTGAGGTATCACTGGGTTGTTGTAAGTTTTTTCAGGCTATATGGCCACGTTCTAGAGGCATTCTCTCCTGGCATTTTGCCTGCATCTATGGCAAGCATCCTCAGAGGTAGTGAGGTCTGCTGGAACTACGAAAAAGGGGTTTAGATATCTGTGGAATGACCACGGTGGGACAAAGGACTCTTGTCTGCTGGAGCTAGGTGTGAATGTTTCAACTGACCACCTTGATTAGCATTTGATGGCCTGGCAGTGCCTGGGGCAAACTTTTGTTGAGAGGTGATTAGATGTCCCAGATTGTTTCCTCTCTGTTGTTTTGCTGTTGCGATTTTAGAGTTTTTCTTAATATTGGTAGCCAGATTTAATACTGGTAGCCTTCGACAATATAGTAAGGTATCTCCCTTTTAACTTCCGCTGAGAAAATCCTCGTACACTGCCTACTACCCATTCAAGAAGACATCCTCCCGGAATCCCAGAATGGATTCCGCCCCTCCAGAGGAACAATGGATATGATCTTCACTGCACGACGGCTTCAAGAAAAATGCAGGGAACAAAATCAACTCTGTACATCACATTCATTGACCTTGCAAAGGGATAGTAAATCGCAGTGATCTCTGTTATAGTTCAGTCTGCTGGGTCATGGTTGATTTAAGATGAAGGTTCTTTTTTCTGCAATGAGTGTTATCTCGGCCAAATATCCCCCATCCAATGCATTTGATTTCTGTGACCTAAGCACACAATCTAAGATCTTTTTGTGTTTTGGTAAAAGCTAAATTCAACAGAAGTTTGTTTAGGGTGGGCATGGCCCAATCCATCTGGATTTAAGCACCTGCCGTATCCGGATTCAGACTCTTGATTCATTCGGCCCAGCGCAGTCGGCTCCTTTTTGGAGAGCTTTCCCATATATATAATCCAGATTATCAAAGCAGGCAACCCACATTGATCTGCCTTGAACTGGATTAGATGGGTCTACACTGTCATATAATCCAGTTCAAAGCAGACAGCATGGCTCTTGTATGGCAGTGTGGAAGGAGCTTTGGAAAGGTGCCCTTTTTTTGGAAAGCTTTGCCATGTAATCCAGATTATCAAAGCAGACAGCCCAGTTTGATCTGCCTGGAATTGGATTAGATGGGTCTCCACTGCCGTATAATCCAGATCAATGCAGACAGCCTGGCTTTTGTATGGCAGTGCGGAAGGAGCCTTGGAGAGGTGCCCTGTTTTGGAGAGCTTTCCTTTCTTGCATTGGAAGATCTCTACACTGCCATATAATCCAGATTATCAAAGCAGACAGCCCACCTTGATCTGCCTTGAATTGGATTAGATGAGTCTTCACTGCCATATAATCCAGTTCAAAGCAGACAGCTTGACTTTTGTATGGCAGTACAGAATGAGCCTTGGAGAGGTGCCCTGTTTTGGAGAGCTTTGCCATATATATAATCCATATTATCAAAGCAGACAGCCCACCCTGATCTGCCTGGAATTGGATTAGATGCGTACACTGCCATATAATCCATTGATCTGCCTTGAATTGGATTAGATGGGTCTACACTGCCATATAATCCAGATCAATGCAGACAGCCAGACATCCAGATCAATGCGGAAGGAGCCTTGGAGAGGTGCCCTGTTTTGGAGAGCTTTGCCATATATATAATACAGATTATCAAAGCAGAGAACCCACCTTCGTTTGCCTTGAATTGGATTAGATAGGTCCACACTGCCATATAATCCAGTTCAAAGCAGACAGCCTGGCTTTTGTATGGCAATGCGGAAGGAGCCTTGGAGAGGTGCCCTGTTTTGGAAAACTTTCCTTTCCTTACATTGGAAGATCTCTACACTGCCATATAATCCAGACTATCAAAGCAGAGAACCCACCTTGATCTGCCTTGAATTGGATTAGATAGGTCTACACTGCTGTATAATCCAGTTCGAAGCAGACAGCCTGGCTTTTGTATGGCAATGCGGAAGGAGCCTTGGAGAGGTGCCCTTTTTGGAGAGCTTTGCCATATATATAATCCAGATTATCAAAGCAGAGAACCCACCTTGATCTGCATTGAATTGGATTAGATGGGTCTACACTGTCATATAATCCAGATCAATGCAGACAGCCTGGTTTTAGTACGGCATTGCAGGAGCCTTGGAGAGGTGCCCTGTTTTGGGGAGCTGTCCTTCCCTTGCATTGAAAGACCTCTAAACTGCCATATAATCCAGATTATCAAAGCAGACAACCCACCTTGATCTGCCTTGAATTGGATTAGATCGCTCTACACTGACATAATCCAGATCAATGCAGACAGCCTGGTTTTTGTATGGCATTGCAGAAGGAGCCTTGGAGAGGTGCCCTTTTTGGAAAGCTTTCCTTTCCTTGCATTGGAAGATCTCTACACTGCCATATAATCCAGATTATCAAAGCAGAAAACCCACCTTGATCTGCCTTGAATTGGATTAGATCGCTCTACACTGACATATAATCCAGATCAATGCAGACAGCCTGGTTTTTGTATGGCATTGCAGAAGGAGCCTTGGAGAGGTGCCCTTTTTGGAAAGCTTTCCTTTCCTTGCATTGGAAGATCTCTACACTGCCATATAATCCAGATTATCAAGGCAGGCAGCCACCATGATCTGCCTTGAATTGGATTAGATGGGTCTACACTGCCATATAATCCAGTTCAAAGCAGACAGCCTGGCTTTTGTATGGCAATGCGGAAGGAACCTTGGAGAGGTGCCCTGTTTTGGAGAGCTTTGGCATATATATAATCCAGATTATCAAAGCAGAGAACCCACCTTGATCTGCCTTGAATTGGATTAGATGAGTCTTCACTGTCATATAATCCAGTTCAATGCAGACAGCTTGACTTTTGTATGGCAGTACAGAATGAGCCTTGGACAGATGCCCTGGTTTGGAGAGCTTTGCCATATATATAATCCAGATTATCAAAGCAGAGAACCCACCTTGATCTGCCTTGAATTGGATTAGATGGGTCTACACTGCCATATAATCAGGTTCAAAGCAGACAGCCTGGCTTTTGTATGGCAATGCGGAAGGAGCCTTGGAGAGGTGCCCTGTTTTGGAGAGCTTTCTTTGGAGAGAAAGAGGGAGATCTCCTCTGCATTGGAAGATCTCTGCTTGGAGAGGTTCTCTTTGCAAGGGAGGAGGGCTCCATGCTTGCCTGCCTCGCCTGCCGAAGGGGCCTCTCTGTCTGTCTGTCTGTCTCCCCACCCACCCCCCCCACCCACCCCCCATAATGTCCCGTGCTGCCCCCTCCAGCTGCTGACCTTGGCGGTGCTGATGAAGCGCACTTCGGAGGCGTTGCGGGCGCCCGGCGACGGACAAAAGGCGAACGCGTCGCTCGCCGTGGGAGCCGCCATCTTCGCCCAACTCTGACCCTTCGGCGCCGGGAGGAGGAAGGGGAGGAGCGGAAGGCGATGCCGCAGCAGGACAGCCCCGGCCCGGACGAGGAAGCCGCCCGCACCCCTTTCCCCCAGGCCGGCTTTGGGGTGCCCCCAGGACGCGCGCCCTGGCGCACGGAGACAGAGAGAGAGTCTTGCGCGCCTTGGAGAGAGAGATTGGCAAACAACAGCAACAAAGCGCCCCAGATTGCAGCCCCTTTGCAGGCCTCCTCCTGCTCTTTCCCAGGTTCTCAGCCAAGCCTCGGGCTACTAAAGGAAGGGTCTGGCCAAGCCCAAGCCAAACTGGGGGGATCCATAACCTCCAAGAGTCATAACCCCCGCCCAGAGCGCATAGCCAAACCCGGTGCGTAAAAGCGCATGGCGAGGGCTTGGCACACATGGAGCCTTCCCATCTCTCCAGCCCCAATCTGCGGCTGGATCTCCACTGCCACATAACATCCAAGTTATCTGCTTTGGACTACACGCAGTGTTTCTCAACCTGGGGGTCGAGACTCCTAGAGGGGTCGCCAGGAGGTGCCAGAGGGGTCACCAAAGACCATCAGAAAACACAGTATTTTCTTTGGGTCATGTGGGTTCTGTGTGGGAGGTTTGGCCCAATTCTATCATTGGTGGGGTTCAGAATGCTTTTTGATTGTAGGTGAACTATAAATCCCAGCAACTACAACTCCCAAATGTCAAGGCCTATTTTCCCCACACTTCACATTTAGCATACTGAGTATTCGTGCCAAGTTTGGTCCAGATCCATCATTGTTTAAGTCCACAGTGCTCTATTGATGTAGGTGAACTACAACTTCCAAGACTCAAGGTCAATGCCCACCAAACCCTTCCAGTATTTTCTGCTGGACATGGGAGTTCTGTGTGCCAAGTTTGATCCAATTCCATCGTTGGCGGAGTTCAGAATGCACTTTGGTTGTAGGAGAACTATAAATCCCAGCAACTACAACTCCCAAATGACAAAATCAATACCCTCCCTCAATCCCACCAGTATTCAAATTTGGGTATATTGGGTATTTTATGCCAAATTTGGTCCAGTGAACGAAAATCCATCCTGCATGTCAGATATTTACATTATGATTCATAACAGCAGCAAAATGAGAGTTATGAAGTAGCAATGAAACTAATTTTATGGTTGGGGGTCACCATAACATGAGGAAGCGTATTAAGGGGTCGCGGCATTAGGAAGGTTGAGAGCCACTGGACTAGAGTATATGGCAGTGTAGACCAGGCATGGGCTGTTAGGAATTGTGGGAGTTGGAGTCCAAAACACCTGGAGAACCCAAGTTTGCCCATGCCTTTATCCAGCCTATGTCTCATTTTGGATCTGGCCTGGTTGAAGGCACCACATTTGTGAAAGTTAAGCAGAGTCAACCCCAGTTTGTGCTTGGGTGGGCCCCATCTACTTTATTTATTTATTTACAGTATTTATGCCGGCCACATGACCTTGGAGGTGTCTATGGACAACACTGGCTCTTTGGCTTAGAAATGGAGATGAGCACCACACCCCAGAGTCAGACATGACTGGACTTAATGTCAGGGGACTACCTTTACCTTTTATAGTATTTATATTCCGCCCTTCTCACCCCGCAGGGATTCAGGGCGGATTACAATGTACATATACATAGCAATGCCATAGACACACAACATATACAGACAGACACTCAGAGGCTATTTAACATTCCAGATTTCATGAAGGTATTCCAGCACTGGGTGCGCTGTCGCTTCACCATCCATTTGTGACACTGATGAAGTACTTCCTCATTCTTTCCATGCTTGCTGGAGATTTTTATGGCATTGTAAATTAGTTAAATTAGCCTTCCCACATAAGTGGTACCTAAATTTCCTACTTGACAGATGCAACTGTCTTTCGGGCTGCAAAAGTCGACAGCAAACTACACAAATTGGTTGGAAGTTTACTCCGACCCGTGCCAGCTTCAAACTCATGATGTTTCGGTCAGTAGTGATCTTAATGCAGCTGACTCCTAGCCAGAGGCTATTTAACATTCCAGCTTTCATGGGGGTATTCCGGCCACCGTGGGAGCTGTCGTTTCACCGTCCATTTTTGATACTGATGAAGTACTTCCTCATTCTTTCCATGCTTGCTGGAGATTTTTATGGCCTTATAAATTAGTTAAATTAACCTCAGGCCCATAGCGAGGGGGGGGGTTAGGGGTTCA